TTTGATTATTTGAAATACTACTTACCTTCTTCCTTTCTGTTTTGTTGTTGGTGCGGTTTTGGGGATGTGGATCGGCTCTTTCAATGCTCCTTTCAGATGAATGGTCCTTTCTTGTATCACTTCCCGGATGTGTTTGATCCAGTCCTGTTTATTCTCTATACTGGATGCCTTTGATATGCAAAAGAAACAAAACCCCCACAATGGACTATTACAGCTGAGAAGATCCACACATATAGTCAGCTAATAAAGAGGAAGGCATAAAGAATGACTTTGTGAATAATTTCTGATTCTTGATATATCAAGTTGATATATTGATATAGTAATCTACTAATACCAAAAGAAAAATTCACTTTTACAGCAACACATATACTTCCACAACATATTCCATGTATTACTCTTCCCACTTTTTGAAACATCAAGGCAGAGAGCTAATTTAGGGATTCTATTTTAATAACTGCCTGCAATGTATCTGTTTTCTTTGCGATACCCCTGAAATTACCTAATATTCACCTGCCCAACCTGTAATCTGATTGTATGATCCAATTTAACCCTGCACCTGAAATGCTATTAAATATAAACATTGTGCATCTAAAGATAAGATTATATATAACTTCCTACTCAGTTGCTGTCTCACAAAATAATTGGTTTCAAATATACTATAAATATTTAACATACTATAAATATTTAATAACTGGGGATTCTGAAGGGATGGAGAAAATTGCAGGAACAGATGAACAGTAAGGGAGAAGAATTTTGTTTTCTTTTACAAACAAAAACATTTAGGAAAAGAAGCTAAACATCAAGTTTAGGTAAATCTTTTATTTAGTTTTTCATGGAATTTATTTCTAATACTAATGAGCTAAGGAAGTGCTAGCTTCCAACTTTCAAAAACAAATAAACAAAAATGTCAACAAAATTGCTGAAGAGCTTAATATATCAGACAAGTTATCTAAATATCCTGTGCTCTAAGTAAAGCACAGAACAAGAACACCTTAAAGTGATCTTATGTAGAGAGCCCTTAAACAAAATGTCTTATTCTGTGCTACCCTAGGAGGATCATTTCAGGCTGCAAAACACTGTCTGTGAAATTATGGAAGCATTAAGACTGAAAAGAATTCTAGTATTTATTAAGGTTACATTCATTAAGGTTGCATTCATTTACTGCTGCCAGAAAACTAATTTCCTTGCATTCATTTACTGCTGCCAGAAAACTAATGTGAGCTCATCTTAGCCTGTAATTCACAAGGAAAAGATAAATTTGAGTAGCAACATGTAAATTTGAGTGGCCATTTTAAAGCAGCCTTATTGATTAATCACCAAAAATATATGTGAAATCACAAATAAGTTTAATAGTAGGTGTATAAACCTGTAAATGGGAAGATGAACTTTGCTTAGGATCAACACAGTTAAGAAACACAAAAGAAAAGTTTCAAAGTTGACACAGTTCTTGAAATACATCACATTACCCGTTAGCTACTTATGGTGTTACAAAAAAGTTGTCCAGTTGAAAACCGTGTCCCAGATTACATACAAGAATCACAGGAAAAATGCATTTAGCTATTCTCCTAGCTAGGCAAAGAACACTACTGACACACACCTTCAGCCTGCGTAGACAAAATGTATAAGCATTGCATGCATTTTCACCCAAAGTCAAGTAGCTTTACAACAACTCATACAGAAAGACAAAAATCTTTTGCCGTGTTCATCTTCTGCACAAAAATATGGGCCATGAAAACCGGCATCACCAACAAGTAGCAATGACTTGAGTGTGAAATGTAACACTGTTTCTGTAACATTTCTATATAGTATCAGTTGCCCTGTCAGCTAGTTGCTGAAGTCTTCAAGCTACAGAAATCCATGGGACCAAACCTTTCTACTATAATTTCTGGGAGCAAGTTTCTTCAATCCTTCAGTGGACTACACAGATCCCCCACTGCTCTCAAGACACATGAGTTAGATATATGCACACCACCTCCTCTGCACACAAAGGAAAATTATCTGTCAGCAGCTCTCCCCCTCAAAGCAAGAAATGTCATTACTTGTTGCCTTCCCAACAAGTATCAAACTACAAGACTTGGTATAAACTGTATAAGCACATCTGCTAAAATTACCTTAAGAACAATTTTGTTGTCTGAAGTTGGTGTCCTGCCAACCCATAGAGCAAACTTGCAGGGATCTCCTTCTACATGTTCTGTGACACCCAGCTCAGAAGTCTGGAATTAAGAAAAATTGGTTAGGACCACACGGCAAAGAGATTTTCAGAAGCTTAAGGCTAACTCGTATGTTAGAGAGAATCCTTTATTCTGGTGGCAGTGGTGTGTTCTCTTCAAAAAGTGAAGAACTGCAAGTTAACAGTTTTTTTCTATGAAGTAACAATAAACAACAGCCTTTATAATCTGAACACCAAATACCTTATTTTGTTTTGGACTCGACAGTAAAAGCCTTACAACCCTAAAAAAGGTGCTTAGCAAAATCAAAAAAGTTTTGGCTTCCCTCCCCGTTGATTTCCATTGGGGAACACTATTGGTTTTTATGTTTTCTCTCAGATAAGATATGCTTAAGAATTCTCTTGATACCTTCTAAAATTCTGATCTCTTTTCTGCCAAATAAGCTTTTGCTAGTGTGTTTCCTTCCCTCTGAAACAGATGAAATAATTCAGAAATGCAGTTTCCCTGGAGAATTTTGTGAGACAGCTACATTAACAATCAGTGTTTGGGATCAGACTTTAATAGGTAATTATCATCAAAAATGTTTTCACTTTCTGACTGGAACAACATCTCAATCATGTGAATTGGATTCCAGTTTAACAATTCATACAGGCTCTGCTCCAAAAAAAATTACAAACCAAGAAATATAGCTCAACCTACAAGAACCTTCACTCCCAAACAGCTGCTAAGCATTCTTACATGATTAGAACCTGCATTTTCCCTCCTCATACATATCATCATTAGCACATACGTAGTTCATTACAGGAGATGCTGGATTCGCAGTATCTGAGTAAATGTAGTTTTTTTCTTGGATGTCAACTTACTAGTTTTTTGGGGGTTTGTGGGTGGGGCTTTTTGGGTTGGTTTTTTTTTTTTGGGGGTGGGGTTTTTTTCCCTTCTAAAAAATAAAAGCCAAGCCAACACACCTACCCTTTCACCTTTATCTCTTTTTGATAAAACCCTTCTAAAAAATAAAAACCAAGCCAACACACCTACTCTTTCACCTTTATCTCTTTTTGATAAAATGGACTCTTGTCCACTGAAATACTTAAAAGTCTGTGGTGTGTTTTAAACTTGACTCACCAGCAACTCTTAAGTGTGTTAAAAAGCTTTTAAAATACTTCATCCAACATTACATTATGTAATTCCAAGAAAGTACACCCTACTGTACTGCCCAATATAAAACTTGCACAGGCAAGACAGTAAAAGTTTTAACATTGTTTATTTTCTAATGCCTAACAAGTTTAGAAGCTTGGTACCCTTGTAATCAGTAAAAGTTTTAACACTGTTTATTTTCTAAAGCCTAGCAAGTTTAGAAGCTTGGTACCCTTGTAAATACTCTTCATTTTACAAGGGACCACTGAGGGACAATGCAGCAGAGGTCTGTACTGCAAGGAGCAGCAAAGTGGACATCAGTTGTTCACTGTCCCTCTCAATACTGGTAGGTATCAAGTGAAACTAGTGGGAAGGAGTCAGGTTCAAATCCCAACATGAGCAGGTTGGCCTATGCCCAATATGTAACTGAGCAACAGACCTCTTTGCAAAGGACACTAAATACTCAAAGTCTGCATGAGATCCAAGGACAAGCTCACAGAAGAGAAATCATTGTGGGTTACTGAATGCATGGAAATCACACTGAGGTGAGGAAGCTCCCAAACAGCCGGTTACTGGTGGCTGGGAGAGTATTTGCACTAATTAACACCTGCTTGCTGTGGTCCTATAGCCCTCCTTAAGCATTTGCTTTTGGACACTTAAATCTCTTGCCAAAAGAGTTCACTAACATGTTCATCCGCTTACATATATACCATTGACTATCCTGTGCTAGGGAGAAGAGTTCACTAACGTGTTTGTCCGCTTAGATTTATACCATTGACTATCCTGTGCTAGGGAAACCCTGATGGCCATCATGCCCAACGCAAAGAGAAGGACTTCAGTTTTATAAAACCACCTTCCAGAGGTAGGACACAGGATAACGTGCAAAACGATCTTTAGCTCAAATCAACACACGTGCTTTCAACATCTGTATCAACGCCCTTTCTAAAGGTCAAAACTGTAAGAACTGCTATAATAGTAAGCTGCGCTGCAGGATATTTTGACAAATACAATATGAAGATAAAAAGAGCGATTTTATTTTTAAAATGAGGCACAATGAGAATCTCCAAGATTTCTATCAGCCTCCCGAGGACCTAAGGCTATTACTAAATTCCTGCTAGAAGAACTGACATGACAAGCTTATGGGACTAATTTTTCAGCTCTCCGTTCCCATGTAATCCCTTGGCAGTTGATGTTACCCTCCAGTACACCCAGAGGTGTTTTTTTTTGTATTTCAGGTTCTTGAGACCACCAAAGAAAGGTGTGATCAACAAAACAGCTGCAGCTGTGCTACCTGCTAGCTCTTTTGTATCAGGAAGGAGAGCAAGTGCTGGAAATGAAGTGAGAGAATATGCAAAGTCAGATACGGAAAAAAGAGGGTTTTTTTGACCAACCTGCTTTACCAGTTTGGACACAGAAGTGGCAATGGAGAATGAATGAAGGAAAAGTGGGAAAGAATGAAGGGAAATACTCAATACTTATACCAGCTGACTTAGTCATATATTCCAATAAGATGTTTTCTATAGTGTGATTCTGAGAAGGAAAGCAATTTCAAATACTTGCTCCAAACTGTTTGGTATAAAAGCTAATCTTGCCTCTGACAGATGCAGAGCAAGCTACGGGAGACTGTCTTTCCACTTGGATACCTAAATTTATGGAGTGTGAATATTGCTCTCACCCAAGTCATCCAATGAAACAGGAAGGCAAGGATATTAATTCCAGGGTCATAGTTTGCAAAGCATACATGCTACAGATAAGGAAAGCAAGAGCAGAGGTTTGGGATATTTTTAATTTATTTTTTTTAAGATGGGAAGAAGAACATTTCCACCTTTACATCCCTCAGTAGTCCCTAAGTGCTGTAATTTTATTTACAAATCTTTATTGTAAGACTACTGGTCTCAGCAGACATCTGGAAAGAACTTTTCCAAAACAAGGTGTTCTTGCCTTTCCCAATCAGTATGTGCAGAATAGCCACTAAAATGAAGCCTTAACATGAATGTTACTACAACAGCAATGGCAAAAATTCCTTCCATCCTTCTGCTTTATACAAATAAGCCTTAAAGAACCAGCAATCAACACACATGATTTAGACAAAATCTTTTCAGCCCAATAAGGATTTTTCTTTGACCTGACACACCAAGATTGAGACATATCCTCCAGTAGTTGCTTTGCATCTACTCTTTCTCCTCTGAAGCATGACAAAACAGCAAAGTTGCAAGATGCAGTCTATGTGTTCCAAGGCTGTTCTTTCAGTGCACTCTCATAGTTGTTCAAGTTCTTCATTTAAATCATTTGCAGCCTAATCTAGACAGTTTTGTAAATATGATCACTTGTTCTCCCATACTTACAAACAGTTTGCTCTTGTAAATGTACTTGCTCCTTCCACTCGAGTCCTTTACTTCTTTACTGAAAACCAAGGACATCTCAAAAAGGAAAAGGTGCCTCTCTCTCCCCTTTCGAATTAGAGTTTTTGGGTCCCACACTTGGAAGGATTCTTGAAGGATGAGCTCTCCCTGAGATTCTATATTTTCATCAAAGCCTGAGAACAGAGGGAGAGAAAGAGTTCACCAGAAAAAGTTAGTAATACAAGGAAATTAAAAAGCACAGCTTCTGTTTATTGAGTGATATGATTTTTTTTCCCAGTACAACTTGCAAAAGACAGTATTCCAAGGAAGCAATACTAAAAAACAAGATTTGATTTCAACATTGTAATATATTAAATGTAACTGTAGCTCAAGTCTACTTCTAAATTTAGAGATCCAACTGTTAAGAAGTTAACCAACTCTTCTGGCAGTATTTTACCAACAAATGATAGATCTATGTCAGCTTCTGATAACCTCTTCTGTGATGAAAATGATTTCTCTTAAAAGCTTTCTGCCATTATAGGAAGTGAGCAACTTGCAAGGACACACAGAGCATAGCAGTTTGTTCTGACAGCAGCAAGCTCCCAAATGCCACCTTTTCTGGAGGTACACCTTCCCTACTATGTATGCAATAAGCATGCAAATGTGTTCCAATTTGGGATGAAAAAACATGGCAGCTTGGAGCTGCTGGCATGGGATCAGCCTGCCATGGAGTCACTCCAGCACTGATCCACAATAAAGAAATCAGTAGCTGGATTACTTATCTTGAGGCATAATGAAAAAAGATGAAGATTGAGAATACCAACAATTTTACTTCCATGGTAGTGGTACCATGTTCTCCCAGTTTAACACACAGCTTTAAAGTGGCAGCCCAACAGAGATCAGTCTACCATACTCTTCTGAGTGGTATTAAACTGTATTTTTAATATATACTGCTTCCCAGTTCTTACTGTTCTAAACAGGGCAAGAGCATGGAGAGGATCAGAGGCAAGTTCTGTCAGGATGTTCATTCAAAATCCTCCAGAGACATAAAAAGGAAATGTGCTCACTCACTGTCTAACATGGGATGACTCAACAATACATGCATGATTTGTTGTAAAACCAACTTATGTAAAAGATTAGGATATTCTCCAGAGTTGCATTCCCAGGGCTAAAAGATTACTGCCAAAGCTAGTCAGCATTTATACTAATGCCATCTCCTGAACAAAGTGTTCGGAACCTATCCTGGGAACTGACCAACATCCCTATTGTTTAAAATCAAGGAAGAGAGGCAATATTAAGTATTCACATGATCATTAATCACACATCAAACCCAGATGAGTTTTACAATAACTTCCACAATACTGGAAAAGCTATGATAAGCTGCATTTTTCTACCTGAAAGCAGAGAGGAAGAAAAGGAGTATTCACTAGAAGCACCTACAAGTTCAAGAAGTGCAGGGTAAAGTGGCTCTGCTTTTATCACAAAAAGTTTAAATACCAAAGAAAAACACTTTTATTACTAAATGCATAATGGCACCATCATATATAATAATCTGCCAATTACAAAACAGATTTTGGCAGAAAGTTGTTCTAAGCACATAGAAGCAATTACATCCAACCTCCACTGTCTGCCATGAACATGATTATGCTGTTCTGGCTAAGGCTCAGGCTAAATTGGCTTATGCTGACATTTTACTGCCAAAAGATACATTTCATTTCAACCAGAAGTCCCTTAAGGAACAGGCAGCAAACAGATGTGAAAACGACAAACTTCCTGGAGACAATTCTTTGATACATAAATCAGTAAAATCACCTCTAATACACTAGCATGCCTTACATAAAGAAGCCAAGGATAGTGGTTGGAAAACGTAGCCAAAGCTAGTATACCTGACCAGTCACCTATTGCATTTTGGATGAATAGTGGAATACTTTGTTAGCCTACATATTTTTCAGATCTGCAGTGGTGCAGACATTGATCAGGATAAATGGAGACTTGAAGAATTAAACCTGTACCAGCTGTCTGTACCAATTCATTTTCCTAAATAATTATGCATTTTATACACCTCCAAATAAAAAGTATAAAAAAGACAAACCCAGAGGGAAGAAGAAATTTATTCTCTTAAACAAAGTTAGTTTGCAGTATACAACTGAATTGGAAAGGCAGCTTGAAACGTACCTTCCAGCATGCTGAGGTGCATAGCATCATTGGCTCGCTTTGGCACACTAAGCATCACCTCCAGGCCATCCTTAATCTCACCTTTACCTTCTTCACAGCACGTGAGCAGCTCCTGCAAAAGTCAGGCAGACAAGAGGACACTCTATCACCTATTTCTGCCCTAATACAACAGACCAACAAACAGTACTTCTAACAATCCGAAAAACATTTTTGACATGCATAATTTTTTGAACTTCTTACTCTGCCAATGACATGACAGTATACTTTGTTTTTATCACGACCAGTTCTTCAAGGAACAGCCCAAGCTTTCAATTAACCACTTCTCATTTAAATAGGAGTATCTGCTTAATAAGAAATCTTCCAAAGATACGTTAAAGACAAATTTTTTTCTGATATGCAGACACAGTTATCAGATGCTGTGCTATGTCAAGGCCCAGAACAACACAGCAGCCAAGCCATGAAGCTGGTGGAAAGCAGGACCACATGAAGGGACCCCTCCTGCCTCCTATGTCAGTTGTCATTCCACTGCACCAAAGACCTGCTCTATACTACTGCTGCTAAGAGGATTTAGACTGTTTTAAGCACTTCACAAATTACTGTATTCTGTGTTCACACAGTTAAAAGCATCCTAGGGCCAAAACGTTTTTAATGCAAACAAGCATTAACTAGTGCACAGAAATTACAGAATAGAGGAAACATGCTCAAGTGTTGTGGCGAAGTTTAGGGCATACAGTTCTCTGCCCATTCAACTTCCCACAGATTTAACATAACCGTGCCTGAGCTGATATTCAAATTTCCTCACAGCCTTTAAGCAGTATCAAGATAAAATGTAGCTTATGTAACAAAAAGGGCATATTATGTTCCCTCTATTATTCAAAAGACCCACTTAATTCATTCCCTCAGTTTAAATTCCTTTTTCCTCTTAAAAGGCAAAGCCATGTGACTCCTACTATTATCATCATTAATCTATTTTTATTTAACTGCCAATACCACCATCACAGCAAAACACTACATGATCACACTTAAATTTTGCATGACAACTCCACAGAACAGTGAGAGTAACTAAATATCCCTCAGAGGCACACAAGATGAGCAGCTACAACACCATTTAGAAAAACAGGTGTAACTTTCAGAACTGTAAAATGTTTCAGCTATCATTCAAGGTCTGGGGTCTCAATCCTTCCATGTGTTACATCTCTCTTCTCATAGGGGAAAAAAAAGAAAGAAAAGAAATAAAACCCAGAAACCCACTAACCACCAAATAAATCCATTTTACTATGCAGCAAAGACATCAGCCTCTGCAAACACTGATGAAACTGATCTATCCCATCACTTCAATAATGTGGCATGCTAAGGCACATTTATATTTTAAAACAATAACTGTTGAAATTATTACCCCAAAATTTCTGAAACAGCACAGCCTAGAGTTTTTCTTTAAGTTATAACTAGATTAAGTTGCACCTTCTTGCAAGGGGAGAACAGACAATATATCAGGCAAAAACACCAGACTTTTTTCCACCCAACCTGACCTGACCTAGCCTCTAATGTTTTCCAGAGATTTCAAAAGGAGTCATGCATGGCTGTTTTCAAGTAGAAAGGGGAGACACAGATCAGCTGCAGTGCTGCTGCAGGCAGCTATAACAAAACAAGCAATGCCATCTAGCAGAGACCCAGCACAGTTCCAGAACACTGCTGCTCAGCTGAGGAGACATCTGTCCACTGAGAGAAAGCTCTAACTACACGTTTCTGAAAGTTTGGCTTATTTCAACAGCTACTATTTACTTGATGTTTCTAGGCAACATTACAAGTTATAACTGTTTCTGCCACAGCTCTACAGGTATTCAGTGTGTGTGTGTGTGTATAAATATTTATACACACACAAACATATATTTATGTATTTTATAGATATTTTATACTACAGTTTTATATATAAATAAATACATTAAATAACATCTATTTTGCAGTAGCTAATACCATCAGTGTAGCTAATGGCTTGCCAAAATTTGTTGTAGAAACCGTTACAGAAAAGCATCTGTATGGCCATGAATTACATTTTTACTCTGGAAATGCAAATTACATTTTCTAAGTAAACCTTATTAGAGAGGTATCTTTTCTGATTTACAGAAATCTGGACAGATTCTCATTTATGCCTTCCTTCATTTTCAGAAATAGTGCAGCAGTATTTGAGGCTGCTTAGTAAACTCCAGTCTCAGAGTGCAGAGTAGAACAGCACTCCTGATTTCAGCAAGAGCTTTGCCTTCTTAAGAACAGCAGAATCACATGAAGAACTGTGAATGAATACAGACCTTTAAAAGAAGCTGGTATTTTGTTATCCTTTGGACAGGTTTGATAAGGTAAGAGGAGATAGAATTGGCCAGTCCATGTCGCTGTTGTATCTCCTACATGAAAAAAGGAAACAGTTGAGGACTGTGAGCATCAACACGCAGATACAAACTGCCTTGAGGGCTGTGCAATAATATGCCTTAACTACAAATTCTATTTTAGCAAGAAAAAAAAAAAACCTGGCAGGATAACCAGATATTCCAGTCACAGTGAACAGTTATGCTGTGCATCTGCCTGCTCACTCTGTAGAAACAGAAGACTATTACCTCCAAGAGAACTTGTGAAACATTTCAACAAACTTAAATACAAAGAGCAAATATCAGGGGTATAGAAAGTGTGACAATACCTGGTTTTAAAATAATAAAATCTGTACTTCTTTTTCTACTCACAAGAGAGAAACCCCCCCAAATTTCAGTGTTCCAGGGAAGAGCCAGGACTAACACAGGAAGGCTGTGCTGATTTCCCCTGCTCGTGCAATTGCCAACAACAGACAGGCTCTTCCCCCACAAGAGGGAGCACAGAGTAACAGTTTTGAACTAAAGAAAAAAGGTTACCAATCACTTAAAAAGAAAACAGCCACTTGCGAACCAAAAAAACTAATGATCCCCATGAAGCTAAAGGAGGAAAATACAATTAGATGATAATGAGATTGGGATGATTACAGATTTCAAGTACTGATCAGGACTGAACTTCACAGCCAGTGTCTGCCATTTACCATAGCACTGGATGTATTTCAACCACACAATTTCAAGTAGCCAGTCATGTCCTGCAGCTGTGTGCTTTCTAACTGTGATTACAGTACCAGAAATCTGCAAGATGGGATACACACGGTATATTCACACAGACCAGTGGTGACATCAATGGAAGCTCTCGTAGTTCCCCGTGCACAGAATTATGTCTGCACACTTCTAATCTACTTTAGGTGGATTAGGAGATGGAGAGCTCTGGATATACTGGCAAAACAGAGGGATCAAAGGAGGTGGTGGCAAGAATTTATTTCTAATAGTTTTATCAGAGCCCTTTGTTATTTCTTAAAATAATACTTACTAAATTTCTTTCCTCCCTGATTTTCTGTAACTTACCTGCTCTTCTTCAAACACTGAAAACTTAACAAAGGCTTCCCAGAAAAGGCTTTACTCTGCAATGTTTAGAAACCTCATCTCATTAGTGATAAGACTTTTGAAAATAACCCCAAGAACTTCAGGGATTTTTTTTGTTGTTTGTTTGGGTTTTGGTTGGTTTGGTTTTTTTTATTATGATCTTCTCCCTACTTCTACAAACAATTCTAAGAAAATTTGTGGTGTCACTACTCAGTTAGTGGCTCAGCACAGTGGGGAAAAGAAAACAAAGATGGAAAGAGAACACTCTTATCGAATCATCTGTAAAAAATGTTCAACCAGAATCATTCAGTGTGGCCAAAATTCCTCCCTAAAACCTCTAACAGATCTACATATTTGCACTTTTTTAATGCAGAATATTACATGTGCTGACCAAGGAACCTTGGGGACTGAATAAGTAAGCGGTTGTTTTAGCTGTTCTGAACAACAGCAGACAACTGAATTACCACTACATGCAATTACAATTTAAAAGTGCTCAAAAAACTTAACAAAGATTTCCATCTTTATTACATACAATGCAAACTAAGCACATAAAAATGCTAAGATTTGCAGAGCTGAAGATTCATGTCTCAGTTGTTGCTGCCAGAACCTGCTTTCAGTTCTGAACTGCTCTGATATGTGACAGTGACTTTCCACATCTGATTTGACAGCTTTGTAACACCAACTGAGCAATGTAAGTTAACCATGTGAGATAGAGGATTGATTTCCTTAAGTTGACAGCTTAACAAATTACAGCATTAGTAACAGGAAAGTTGAGTTTTCTTAAGAAATTAGGCACTCAGCATAACTGCAAATACACAACTCAAACTGCCAAGGCATACTTTCAAGATGGACACAATGTACTTACATCAAAGTATGCTCCTGCGTGTTCTAGTATCAGCTGAGTAGAATCTGGCTTATTTTTACAGTACGTAACATACATCTGGAATTTGTCTGCCTGCAGAGCAAAATGCAAATTTACACAGGTTATCAGGGATCATCATTCCTTTCTCAAAGTTTTAATACAATTATCAGAGAACATATTTTCTCTATCAAGAAATCAAGCTATATGGAATCATTTTCCCATTCAAACTGGCAGCATAAGAATATACATCAGGCAAGTAAGACTGAAAACAACAGGAATGTATGCAAAAGTAGGTTATTCATAGCTAAGACAAACCAAACGTGCACACAGGTTTAGGAAACTTGCATACACTTCAAGAGCAGCTGGGCACTGGCATCTGACAGGACTACCTTGATTTTTTTTTCCTCAGCTAAAGATACACGGTTTTACTCAAATTTGAAGAAAGAGGTGCTTTTGCAAACATTACAAATTAAAAAGGGATGTAAGAGCAAGAATATATCCCTTCCTGCCTCCTATTCCCCTTGCTACTTCTGAACATAAACCTGATTTTATTACCCAAGTAACGAAGCAATGTCCAACATCTTCTGGTAACTGTTCATATTTTTCCAGCTCCTTGAGGAATATACTACAGTAGAAAAGAAACAAATAGTACAAAGCACATGAAACATGTTCATTACAGCAACTGATATGGATCTATTGTCTGTGAATAAAGGCAGCTAGAAAACTTGCTCTAATTCATACCAGCAGCATGAGTTACAGAAATAGATAACTGGAATGAATAAAAATGTGTAATAGAAGGATTAATATAAAATATAATTCAATAAAAACCCTGATGTGAAGATCAGAAACTGAACCAGCAGACATGCAGTTAAAACATAAGAGTACACAAAAATTTAGTAACTGCTTTTGTTCTCCATCAAGAAGGTTTCCTACTGTTTCAGTTTCAAGAAAGTTTGGCCTTAATCTCAATTAAGAAAAAAAGAGATGCCTTGCTTTTTAGGTGCTCAAGTTAACACAAAGCATACAAAGACCTGTAAAATCAAGGTCTTGAATGTGCTAGGTTTATTACTTTAAAAGAATCATAAACCAACACAAACACCAATGAATTAACACAGAAAGAAGATTCAGAGCATGACTTCTGTACACAAATCTCCCTAGGAATCATTCCACTCAGAAGAAATGTAGTGGATGAGCCTCTTTCATACTCTGTGCACTAGTAAATGTAACAATGCTGGGGCATCTCCACAGGAGCTATGAAGAGCCAAGAAAGAGCAAGGAGCTCTACTTTTATCTCTAGCAGCTGCACTTGGAAATCAGGAATGAGGGTTCTGAGGGAATGACAGAGTCTTGATGTTTGGCTGTGTTTGTATTCTATTGAGTTCAGTGGTTTTCATCTCCTTAGAACAACTAAAAAACGTACAGCACAATTTTAACGTATCCAAATAATTTCTTAAAAGCTGAAAACTGTTTGAGACTGAAAAATACCATTTCTAATGGTGTACCTACCTGGCTGCAAAAAGCAACAACTGAAATAATTTAGCAATCCAAGAGGAAAACCTTTAATTATTTTTTTATGGAAAAGCATCCATTATTCATATAGACAATATTTTCATTAGGAAACCCCTCAGGTCATCATTTGGATATAGCAGTAATATGGAAATTGAAGATAAGTCACTCACTTATTATGGAACTCATAAATTTCCTGCATGTTTCCAAAGATAATGTGTTCTTTGTTTACAATACCAGGTGGGATCTCCTCAACTCCACTTGTCATTTCCCATAGATATGTCTGTCCAGAACAAAAAAGATGCATGAAAAGTGATGATACAGTCTGAACAGAAGCAGCCAGGTTATCTGTAAGCATGCACTCCTGGAGAGAAACT